CTTTCAGGGCCACCGATAAATTGGCAGAGCCACTGGAAGGGTTGGGAGAGGACTCGTGAGAGTCTCAATGAGGAACAAGATACAATAGAGAAAGTGGCAAAAAGCCTATGCTGGAAAAAATTGGTGCAAAAGGGTGACCTTGCCATATGGCAGAAGCCCACCAATCATATACATTGCAAAATAACAAGAAAAGTCTTCAAGAATAGACCCTTTTGTATGGCAAAGGATCCAGACACAGCATGGTAACGGCAGTACCAATCTTAAGATGGCTAAAATGTGTTTTAGCAAAATTGATTCTATTTCCATGGTTTTAGATACATATATAATTGGTGGCAGATTTAGGATGAGAATAGACCCTTATGGCTGAAAGTTGAGAGACCTAAAATACGTCTTAGATGAAGATAATTCTCGGATAGTGAAGCTTTAGGTTGGCAGTATTGCAGATAGATCGTCTTACAATCACTGTCACTGTTAGTTCCGTGTGCTATTGATTTTGCTTTTGAGCCTATAGCTTTTCTATTTTCTCTTTTCTAAGGATAAAAAGCAAATTATGCTTGCTGCCAATGAGAGTTTAGTAGTGATACCAAAACCACTTGGAAGATAAAGCTTTTAAAGTGACTAGTCAGTAGTCAGTGCAACCATCGCTTTTTCCATCTTGTTTCTCACTCCATTCCCTTACCTTCCCGAATCTAGCTGATCAGCCAAAAGGAGAAGATTCTGTGTGGCCCCTAATGTTAAATATTTTGTTTACATGCTTTTGGCGACCTTTTCACTTTTAACATTTTGTTTCGTTGTCAGGTACACCAAAATGGAGACCTGCTTGACACCACTGCCAGAGGTGAATGACGTCAGTGAAGTTAGTGGTGGCAAATTATCAAATTGGCCCGAGAGATTAACAGCAGTGCCACCAAGGATTAGTAGTGGAAGCTTGAAGGGAATTACGGCTGACATGTTTAAAGAAAACACAGAGTTATGGAAGAAGAGAGTAGCATACTACAAGAGCTTGGACTATCAGCTAGCAGAGCGTGGTAGATACCGTAATCTGCTTGATATGAATGCTTTCTTGGGAGGCTTTGCAGCTGCACTGATTGATGATCCTCTGTGGGTCATGAACACTGTCCCTGTTGAGGCCGAGTTCAACACCCTTGGTGTCATATATGAACGTGGATTGATTGGAACCTACCAAAACTGGTATGCCTTTCTTCCATAATAGTAAATTAGTAGAGGGACTCATTCTAGGAAAAGTAGAACATAGTTGGGGTAGAAAGTAGCTTTCTCATTGACTAATTAGATTAGAAGCATATCTCACTTTAGCTTAATTTCTGTTCATCACTGCTAAATGCTTAAACACAACTCAAGTGGTACCAACTTTTGTCCTTTACCATAGACAGGGCACTGTTATACAGATACACTTGTTTTCAATCTATTATTATGAATGATTTAGAAACCAAATCTTTGTCTTTACACTTTTCAACACTAACTACTTTTGCTTACAGGTGTGAAGCAATGTCCACATACCCAAGAACTTACGACTTCATACACGGTGACTCAGTTTTCAGCCTATACCAAAACAGGTATTTCTCAATTTGGTCAGCTAAAAAATGTTACAGGGATGGCATCTCCTACTTTCGAAGTTGACTAAGTACTATTTCAATAGTTGATTGAAAGACTTGAAAACTGACAGATAACTACTTCAATGGTGGTTCAATAATTTAAAAATTGTATTAAATAATTGTCTTAACCTGTGGCAGGTGTAAAATGGAGGACATTCTTCTTGAGATGGATAGAATTTTGCGGCCACAGGGCAGTGTGATCCTGCGTGATGACGTGGATGTGTTGTTGAAGGTGAAGAAATTTGCAGATGCAATGGAATGGGATTCCAGAATCGCAGACCATGAAAAGGGGCCTCACCAGAGAGAAAAGATATTCTTTGCTGTTAAGAAATACTGGACTGCTCCACCCCCAGAACAAAAATCAACATAGAAAACTCTAAATTCGTCTTCTTTCTGGCTCATCATATGTGTAATTTTTTATTTCGTGTTCACAATTTTTTTCAGAATTCTATTCTTTTCCAACCCCCGCTTCTATGGGTGGTGTGCAAAGTGAATTTTTTTCTTTACACCAATTATGGTTTCTTAAGTTTTTCACTTTTTGGTAACTTATCTATCCTGTACTCCATATCTATCAATCAAATGAGTGTGCAAAGGAACCGATTATAATGTTTTTACCAGACACCAGGATCTCTACATCATATGTTTGTCTCCTTACAAAATGTCATTTTACACGAATATGAACATTTTTATAAGAATTAAAATTTTAATTATTATTAAAAGGTAAAACTGTGAAATGAAATTTAAGCAGATTAATATCACAATTTCCTTATAAAGACTGGGAATGTAAAACGTACCTGCAATTACTGGTTATGTAAGGAATCGAGCTGGTTCATAACGCGTTTTATTTTGTTTACTGACTGTCACTTAACACATTAATATGTATTTAACAAATTTAATAACGCGTAATGTAATTGTATCGTTAGATCACAACATTTTTTCAAAAATAATATGAAAAGTTAAAGTTGATGCCAGCTTTGCTATTTTTTTTATTGAAATTAAAATATTGAAACAGTTAATAATGATTAAAGCAGCTTTCTCGAAAAGAATAATTCAATTTTTTTTAGTGAAACTAAAATTGAATAAAACTAAATTTCTTCAAAAAGTGTCATAGTATAAAACTATCAAAATAAAACATTACATAGATAATAACTTATAACTAAAGACAAAAGCAAGAGTAAGCTACGAGTAAAACAATTTATCATAATAAAATAACATTGCAACATGTTTTACATCTCACACAACATAAACATCCATCCTAAACATGCAACAAACTTAGACTTGACTATCCGGATATACAATGAATGTCGAACTAAAACATGTTCTGCCCTTTGTGTAATGTAAAAACTGACAACCATCAAAGCTACCTCACAAGGTTAGTCCTTCAACATGCCTTTTGCCAGATGGAGAAAGGCCCTAGGCTAAGACCATAGTGGGTTATGCACTTGTGTAGTGAAACAACTGACAACCATCAAAGCTACCACACAAGGTTAGTATGTACCGCGTCTTAGGCCATACTGGAAGCACCTAGACTAAGACCTCATGCTACTCTCACCACATGACTCATTTCTCTCTATTTGAGCATGAATGATCATTAGAGTGTCAGGATAACCCATCAGAACTGAGCTTCTTACCTTCATACTTAGAATACTTGAAACCACCACCAAGAAGTTCCACCTTGGAACTAACCTTTATAACTTTGAAACCATTGATATCACTTCACATTCAAATAGTACACCAATACATGAGACTACTAATCATACATTAAAGAAATAGAAACAATCATACAAGTAATCAGAAATCACCCATTAACATAATTTATTTGTGGCACCTTGATACTCATATATTTAGGTAAGGAAAACAACTCTGAAACCCTCACCAATAGCTCTGGAATAGGGTCCAAAACCCCCAAATTAAAATAAAAGAACGTCCAAAACGAACACTCGGAACCCCAAATTTGAGATCCCGAAAAGTGAAAAAAAAATCTGCTGAGTTGCGCCCAACGCCCCCAAAAGGGGCGCCCGGGTGCCAGACCCCTGGAACAGGGGCGCTAAGGGGGTGCCCAAGTGAATTATTCTCGCAAAAACGCCTAGGGGCCCTTGGAGGGCGCCTAACGCTGCACCAGGTTCTAAAATTCACCTATTTGGACTTTGGTGACTTTCTATACAACTTTAAATTATTCCTAAAAACTCTTAGGCACTGAGAAACATTTAAAAACAGACCCCTAACTTGACTTGACCACTCGAAATCCCAAATTGACCTATGAAAACCCAAATTTACTCCTATAAGCTACCCAAACTCAAATGTATACTTTCTAACCCCTATATCAGTTTCCCAACTGCATAACCAGGTCTAAACAGACTAGCTAGTACACCCCAACACCCCAAATTGATTACAATCCCTCTGTTTCAAGATCTCACCATTCAAAATCTCAAATTGGGCCAAAAACCTCTCAAAACTCATCCTAAGATGACACCAATTGTCCTATACCAGATTTTTCTCATTGAACAACCTAGACAAGTCCTAATGAGTCTTATAACACACTCTCAACTGTCCAAAACAGTCAACACTTCTTACTTCTAATTCTCACTACTCAACCCCCCCCCCCCTTTTCCACTAAAACATTTCAAAACATCAACAATGAACCCTAATCTTTGCTCCATATCAGTTTTCAACCATTTAACTCTTCTAACAAGTCCCAATTAACCACATAACAGTGCTAGACCAATTGTCATATCACTCAAATACCAAATTCTCAATTTCACTCACCAAAACCTCTCTTTTAAGCTTGAAACTCAAGTAACTTGACCAATATTTCACTTAACCACTTGAATTCAGTTTCAAACATTTCAACATCATCATCATACTCAATTATAACAGTATTAATCATCATAATCACACTATATCACTTATATTCAACATCACACTATCAAAATCACCAATCAAACATACATTTTATACACCTAATCATACCAATTTTCTCAAAATCATCTATAACTCATACATACACCAAATTTATAATATAAACACAACTAAGACAAGTTCTAGTTTCCCTTACCTTAGAAGAAACAACCTCAATCCACGGAAACGTCCCGACGGTCGCTTGAAACGCAAGAAATTCCTAAACAGACCTACGAGGCACCAAAATTGAAACAAACAGAGTTCTTAGAACTCTAAATTCATCAAGAGCAAGAAAAGAGAACTAAATGATACATGCATAACAATTTTGTCCATGACCATTGACCGAAGCAAAGAGGACATAAAAACGAGTAGAAACTTACTTGCTCTAAAACAGAAATTGATAGGTTGGATTTGTAGACCTTGACGTCATGGTCGTCTACACACCTCTTGATCGTCAAAGAGATAATTCAAGAGTTAGAACTCTTAGAGAGAAGGTAGAGAACGAAAATTGGTTTCTTGAAAGATGATACGTTTTAAAATGATGAAACTCGTTTATAACAAAACTATTTATAATAAAATCGTTTAACATTAAAATAATCGAGTTTCACTATTTTTAGACCTCTACCACTTATAAAAATATCATTTTTTTGGGGTTTTACAAAAAAAAATATTTGAATTAATCAAGATTAGTTAAGATTTAATATATCTATTTATGAAAAATGTAATAGATTAAGAAGGCTAAGAACTCATTTCTCTAATCTTTCAAACATAATTTGGGATCTGTTGTTTTCAGGAAAAGCAAAGAAGAAGTGAAATTTAGGGTCTTTGATATTTTTTTTTGTATTGATGTTAATCATGATGTGTGTTTTCTTTTTCTACCTATAAGACGAAGTGATCAAAGAATATGTTTTTTTATTTATTTCTTAGTATCATATTGGCACTGTCACCTAAAACAATCATATTGAGATTGCAAATACTTTTGTAATAAAAATAATCAAATTTAAATATCACAAAAAATTTATGTGAAACTCTTCTACCGCCAAGAAGATGTTTCTCTTATTCTAGAAGTTATATTTATTATTAATTCAATATCATTTTATACTATATATATATAAGGTTTAAATCATCGGATAGTCTTATATTTGTTAAAAATTTCAAGTAGATTCTCGTTTTTGTAATTATCTCATGTATATTTGAAAAATTTAAGCCAATTAAATCATGTCTTATTTTTAAATAGATGTGTCATTGTGATTAAATTTAGTAAATGATATATTTTTTAACCAAATAGCCATAGTTTAGGAAAGGGCAATGAGAATACAAAAATGTCTCACAAATATCATTACCTTTTACCATTTTCAATTCACACATAAAAATCAGCTTGCAAAATTTGTTAGTTTATGAAACACATTTTGAGTTCAACATGCAGACTTCTTCACCGTAATTTTATGAGAAAATCCTTAAATTTAGGGTTTTGTTTTTAATTAATTTTGGTAAAAATCCCTAATTCTGAAATACGATTCATCTTTCCGTGTTCCTCTGTGTCAACCTTGATCTGGAGTTCAATTGGTATCAACCGTGATCTCGCATTACTTTTAGTGCTGTGATGGAAGTGCGACAATTTCTTCTCCCTTCCCATTCTCCGTCACGATGGAGGACTGGCCTCGCCGTGTGGTCTGGATTAAAAATCAACTTAAAATTTAGTAATGAAATAATGTTTACTAAATTTATTAGAGTCGTCTTTTCAAAAGTCTATATTTAGTAAATTAACACTCATAAATTTAAAGTTTATTGCATGTGTAAATTAGCAAATTTATATAAACTTTATGTGTTAGTATTTATTTTTTAACAACATTAATCGTTTATTTTCGATCTTTCAAGTGTTGTGTTCCTGCAGGCAAAGATTGTTGTCCACACATGTTTCGGACGAGCTCTTTTGACAGTTTCTTCATCAATGGTATTCACTATATTGTAAAAACAACGGCTCTTCACTAATGCAGCAAACACATAAAAGTAATCTTTTTCAAAGTGCTGCAGTACTGAGTCACGTAACATTGTAGACAAATTTGTCACCATTTCACAATCATGGCGATAAACCTGCTTTTGCAAGGAATGTCTGTAAGAAATCTTGACGAAAAGATGGATATGGAAAAAGGTGACGATAAATATCTGAGTTCGGAATCTAACTGCACCCATTGGGTCTGAAGCCTCAATAACTATATAGTAATATTGACTTTATCATTGCATCCTAATTATACTTTATGAATCACACACTGTTTACTTAAATGGTATATCAAGCGCCTGTGGCCTAATGGATAAGGCGCCTGACTATTAAAAAAAGTAATCTTAATTTGGTGGTTATCTAACTTAATTTAATTGATGTGATATAATATATTTATAAAATATATTAAAATAAGTCATCAAATTTTAAATTAATTATTTTGTTTTATTTATTACTTTTTATATTTTTTATTTTAATCATGTTCTCTTTTTAATATAAAAACATATTAATAAAATATTAAATTTACCTTTTTGTTAATATTTGAATATTTTCATTTTAATTATTCGTTTTATTATATTATAATGTGTTTATAAATATTTACTAGTTATTTATGTTTATATATTTTAATAACTTATTATGTTACAATAAAAGGTAAATACTTTGTTTAAGTTAATGAATTAAATTTTATGTCGAATAGATTATATATTCTCGTTGTATAAC